GCCTTTCTTGAATGGCCTGAGATATCCTCGCGATACGATCGCAGCCAGTGCTGACTGCCTCATTCGAGATGAAGTCGGTATACTTAACTCGCGGGATGGTCCTCAAGCAGTGGCGGTCAAAGACCTCCAGTCTTCGTTCAGCTTCAACGCGCAAAGTCCAGCATTCACATCCATAGAGGAGGACTGGCCAGATGGATGCAGGGTATACACGAATCTTCGTGGCAATGGAGATGTCGCGTCGGATCCGTAGGCGCTTTCGAAGGATTGAGAAAACCCAGCAAGCAGCATCGATGTGGGAGACAATGTCGTCCTTGCTCTGCCCATTCGGTAGTGTAGACTGTGACCGGGTGGTGTATACTGGTGTATACTGGGGTGTAGTGGCACGTAGGCCCACGCCGCGATAGCTGGGACTTGTGTCGCTGCCTCTGTCGTCTTGGTGTTGTGTTAAAATCCTGTTAAAGTGTTTGTTGTAGACCAGAGAGCGTGGATGTTAGCGTAGGTTCAAACTTTCACCCATACCAGTCATCCACGTCCTCTCCTACCTCCGGCCTTCTTCACTCTGTCATGACACCGGGTCCAGGTGGAAGAGAAGTAGGGAGTGTGGTAGATGCAGCGCAAGTCCACTATCATCCACGCATAAATCATCGTGCTTGCTTCTAGCCTGCCTTGAAGCACGCAGTGGACACATCCTTACGACGTGGTTTTAGGCCGAATAGAGACCCAACATATTTTAAGTCGGTTGGAGGCTTTCTGGTCAGTTTTACTGCTAGCGCCCCTATTTGGCTATTTTCCCAATTCCCTTGTTTATTGGTGGGACGGAATCATTACTAGAAGCTCATCAAAATTTAATTAAACTGGCCAGCTGCCGTGACTCTGAGTCGGGCTTATCTCAAATGTCCTAGCTAATTATACTTACTTTTTGTGTCTTATTCCAGCAAATTACAAGCTATATCGGATAAACTTCATGCGTCTGGTGGAACCATCGCCATTATTGGTGGGGGACCCCTTGGTTCGGAGTTGGCAGTCAGCATTGCAGGTGAAGCAAAAGGCCCAGGCGGAGCTAAGGTCACCACCTCGGACAAATTTTCCGTCCTCCACTTTGTTCACGAAAGCGCTCCCCTGCGAAAACTGCTGCCGCCCTCTCTCGCCCCCTCGGTGACTCGTTTTGAGG